GAGCAGATGGCACACTCAATTAGCACATTTTTGAAGTCGCCATTAATACAGACAAAGTTCTGGAATATCGACATCTTGTTCAGGAAAGCTTTCTTATTTCAGCAAGATAACCACACTATTTTTATTACAGCAGAGCGGCTTTGCAGTAAAAGAGTCCAGGTGACCTCCCTGTAGACCTGAACTGACCCCGGCTGAACTTTTAACTACAGGAACTAATCGTCTCAACTCCCACACACATGCAGAGTGTGTGGGAGTGAGGTGATGCAACGCAGCGGTCAACATATATATGTTTTTATTGCGTTGCTACCCTTGAATTCAAAATGAGCTTTTACGTGTTGCATTTTCGTTACTTTCAGTTTAAAACAGGCTTTAAATAGTTACATTACATTTTACACTTCCACAAAAGTAACGTTGTAGCTGTTTTTTGTCAACACACTGATCACCCATTCCTAAAGCATAACTGGGTCACTCTGGAGTTAATATATCCAAAACACAATTATTCTGAACAACATGGCAACAGCTGTACAAAATGTAAAATGCCAGCAGGCTTCTCCACAACCCCCTGACGTGACGGTAAGTGAGCTAAGCAGGCAGCCAGTAAATCAGTCGGCCAGGTCGTGGCTCGAGATGTTTAAACCGGCTATAGGTTGTAAGCTGAAGGTTTATGTAATGCAGTAAGTGAAGGATTTGACCCCAGCGCAGACATAAACAACCACAGACGCAGTTTGTCTGCCCTCAGAGACACCAACCTCTGACCTTAGACAACACACTTTCTCTAATCCACTTCACCTCACCTTGAAACCCCGCCTCCTAGGGGGGATGTGTGTATATGCGTGTGTGTGTGATTAAGGTAGCGCTCCTTCCAGCAGCTAAAGCAGCAAATCCAATAACTGGTCTCTATCGACTGGCACACTCATTAATTAGGGCTTAAAACGGCTTAATGCTCAGGCACTGCCCTACACTGAACACCCCCCCAAACACACACACACACACACACACACACTGCTGGCTTGCTGGCTCAGTTCTGCACACTGCTTGGAATGGGTTTGGTTAGAAGGAAGCTTGGATTCACTGATCGACTGATGGGAGGACAGATAAACGGATGTTTGGGTGAAGGGGATCTGCAGCCGGTGAAAAACGAGGGCTGACAGTTTGTGGTGTCAGGTGAGGTGTCGGACTGAGCGGTGGTGGGGGCGAAGAGAAACCGAGGCTCCAAGCTCCAGCCGTCACCATCCCCCTGCTGCCTGCTGATGGCCGGGCTGGCAGCTCAGTGACCGGGGTTAGAGAAGGAGAAGCTTCCCCGCTGACCTGGTAAAAGGACACCACCTGCTGGATCCAGCGCTTCACTGACGCACACACACAACGCACACATCTACACTGAAATAATTCCCCTAAAATACCTGAAAACAGCTTCCAGAGCAGTCCTGGTACTAAGTGTGTATTCTGCTCTCCAGCAGACATGACAGAAGCAAGTTTTGCTGGGAGGCAGTTTGCAGTAATTTCCCCTGACAGCCCAATAATCAAACTCTGCTCACAATCTGCACCTCGAACCACAGCACTCTCTATTGACTGCTGCTAGTAAGGAGATTAATTACAACACACAAACACAGACACAGCTACCTCTCTCCGGTATACATCAGTCGTAGCCCACAGCTAGTGTCTAAACTCTGTTGTGTGTGTACGTGTTTGTCTGTGTTTGCATATTTATTTACAGGTGGGAGCATATGTCCTAAAGGCATGGTCCAAAGGGAAAGTGCTAACGTCACGTTAGAAAAACAGAGACACTGTAATAGATACGGAAGATCTGGAAGCGGCGTTCAGGTCTGTCACTCAGCAGCCCCTTATGAATGTGTGTGTTCCTATCACTAAACAAATCAGCCAGTGGAGCGTGCCACTTTAAGAAAATATTTATCGCACAGTGCATAGATTATCAAAATTACTCGAAAACAAACCACAGAGTAAACTGACGCTATCCTGCGTAAACTGGGTTGTGAGATCAGGTATTTTACTTTTTTTTTTTTATAAGAGTAAAAAAAAAGGAAAATCTTGTCAGCGAAGGCGAACGTGGGCTGTAATTAAAGAGTACATTTCAAAAATCTGCAAACCAGAGAGATAAAAACACACGCTCAAACATCACAAAAAACTAAAGAATTGGACTCAATGTTGCAAAAAATTAAATCTAAAGACAATGAAAGATCTCTGAACCTATGTGTGTGTGTGTGTGTGTCTGTGTGTAGCAGGCAGGGAGCCTAGGGGGGTGAAGAACGCAGGCAGACGGCCTTGGTTTGCCTGGTTACAACAACACTGCCAGGGGCATGAAGGCTGCAGCTGCCACACACACACAAACACACACGCGCAACACAAAACCATATTTCGCCCAACCCCAGGCTTGCCCACCATCGCCACCCTCACACCCCAGCGCTCCAGCTAAATCTTGGCTGGCACAAAACCGCACTCGAGAATATGTGCGTGTGCCTCAAGGCCATGCCCCTCGTCCTCTTCCACCAACCTGTCGTGCCAGTTGTTGCTCTCGCTAACATGTGCATTTGACATGGGAACGCGATCGCTGACGCTGCGGGGTTTTGATCGGGATGAGACCGACATGCATTCCCTCACTGTCTTTTGATTTTCTTTGCTTTTTGTTTACGGCCACCTGGCAATTTCCAGAGTCTTTATTCTGTAAAGGCACAGCGGATTTCACATGTGAGCGTCACGCTAAGTCAGTCTTCATTTCCAGATCCACGACACAGAAGATCACTATCCCCTGAATAAACAGATAAAGAAAATTACATATACTGGATATTAAAGAAGTATATTGTTTATGGGCAATTTCTAAATCAGGATATAGTTGATATTTTTCTGTAATTTAGAATTGAAGAAATCCTAACAATCAAATCATTTGCAAAATCCTCTAAGATCCAGTAATCTTTAAATATGTACATTCTAACTGGAGCGGCTTTGGTGCACCGCATTTCTGTTAAACAGAGAAAAATAGAAATTGTGAAGACAGAAATGGCGATTAAATTGGCATTTAATCATCAAACTAAAAAAAAATATCATCTGTGAAGCAGCCTCTGTTAAAACTGCTCTTTTCCCCCATTAGTTTCCAGCTCACAGCTGTTCCCCTGCAGTGCTGAGCACAGTGTGAAGATCAGGAGGGGAAGAAAAAAAAAAGTGCCTTAGATGTTACTAGACCGCCAGATGTTCCATGAACAGTTACATGAAAGTTGCAACTCATCTGTCGCAGTCCTGCAAAACCAATATTCAGCACTTATTAAGGGAACAACATACACAAGGCTGTATAGCTGTTCAGTTTTAATTCCTTTTACTTTTTTGAGCACTGCACTGTGTACACATTTATATTCATGCACGCTGAATAACAGCGTGAATATAATAACCTAAAGTCTGTCAGGCCAGCTTCTTCTTCTGAGAGCACGGCATGAAGTGAAAAATACTTACAGCATGTGATCACCAACATTAAATAATACTATACTTTTCTTAAAAATGTTTCTTTTTTGTTGATTGATTTTTTTAATTTGGCTTCTCTTGTGTTTGTTACTACAACGTCATGTTAACTAATCGTGCTTTTATTGTGAAATCTTTATTTAACAGGTGAAAGAAAATGCGTTTTAATGACATTTTTGTTTGAAAGAAATAAAAGATCAGCATGCTTAAACCTTTATATGAGATTTTAAAACACTAAAACAGCATTTATATTATTACTGGTTTGTTTTTTTCTAATTTTCAAATACAATTACTCGATATTACTGCTACATTTACATTGCATGCTGTGGTACTTTACAGTTTTTAGCTTTACATTAAAGTGAACATAAAGTTGAGAGTAAAAGAAATTAAACATCATGTCTGCTTCTTGCGCTGATTGCAACAAAAACCATAAATATCCAGCTTAAGTATTAAGTTATTATCAGTAAAATAAAATTTGAAAAGTGCTGTGCAAAAAAATCTTAATTGCAGATTCTAAAGTGGGGCTAGTATTAGGCCGTCAGCTGTGCTGTACCCAATAAAACATCTGTAACAGACACAAACTTGGCAAATCTGTTTGTCTTTTTTCGTCTTAAGACCTTCCAGTGCCATCACCTTCCGTATGATGTAATTTCATATTTTTAATATTAATTATTTTCCTTGATCATTTCAGGTGCTTTTTCTTTCATTCCCGTAAAGCGTCCCAGACAGCAGTTCACCAGCGTAAAGTGAAAGGCTCCTGGCCAGTATTTATAATTAAAAATAAAATCTGGAAAGAGTTTAGGAAGGGATGTTAGAAATATATTCACGATCTGACGAAGCTGTAAACAGCTCTGAACGGGCACAGAAGTCGTCTCTGCTTTCATTTCTGCATTAACAGAGGTGTCGGTGCTGCTGCAGGCTGGGAAATCATCTATTTAACGTCAGAGTTGTTTGCTGCCGTGAGGCCTCCTGACTGTTTTAAGCCGTGTGTTTGAGCTTTTGCTTTGCTGGCATTAAAGTGTTTCTGCTGATGTTACTTTTAACATTTTTTCTAAAGAAGGGGCAGGTGCTTCTGCTCGAGTTTTCTACTTGTAGTTTTATGAAGTAGTGTTAGAGTCACTGACTGGGGCTTGAGATGTGACGCTTTGCACAGTTAACGCTCCAGCTTGCAAGCCTCTGGCTACAGCCTGACATCTGAGCTGCAAATCTGTGCGTCTGTGTGTGCGTGTGTGTGTGACAGAGCTGTAAAGCCACCGTTTGACAATGCTCTTTCAGCAGGCCGCCCTGCAGTCGCTCCCGGCTACGGGAGCCAGCTGGGCCATGCGGAGACAGAAACGATGAGAAAAGAAGAAGAGGAAGATGAAGGAGGAGGGAGACGACTGATCAGCGCCATCCAGAGGTAAGAACGCAAGTATGAGTGAGGAACGAAATGGAGGTAGTGTCTTAAAACGGTTGATACTTCCTCGTGTTTGCTTTTGTAAAAAATGTGAAATATAAATTAAATATTTGAAATGTTTGGAAAGTAGCTGCTAACAAACCACATTCTGACTACCCAACTACCTACCTGTGATCAGTGCTTTATGATAAAAACCTGAAAGGCAAGGGGCTGCTGTTATGTGAAAAATAAAAATCCATTTTTAAAAAAAATCTGTGAAAAACAGCTATGTGTGATCAGCAAAAAAAAAGAAGAAGAAAGAAACGCATGTGAAATGTAAGGAGGTGATGTTAATATTAGCGCTCTGTGGAAGATGACTACGAGGCGTTAACGACGCTGAACCTCACACTGGGCCTTCTTTGTCTTTATCCTCACTTTCTCCACATCTCACTCTTTTTATCGTCCCCCTGTTTCTCTGTACCTCCTAGATCACACACATAGTGGCAACTCATCACACACAGATGCACGCACACACAAATATCTGTGTGTGTGCGTGTGTACGCGCGAAGACACAGATGAGACAAATGAAAGCTGTCCTGTTTTCTTCTGCCCAGCCTCTGCCAACTTCATTTGCAAATGAAAAGTTTTGCGAGGAGCGTCCTTTTGCTTCTGGGGCGGCATGGCAGCACACTGTGTGTTTGGGAGCGGGGGGATGAGGAGAGACGAGGGTTTGACAGAGGGTGTGTGTATGTGTGTGGCATGAGCCCAGATGAAGCAGCCCTCGCCTGAGGCTCGCTGTCCGCCCGCGGTAGCAGCAAGCCTGTTCCTTCTTCCCTGGCCCGCCGCGACCATTTGTTCCATTAACCAATCTCCTGGAGCCTCTGGTGCAAACGCACACACTCATACACACGCATGCACTCACACACACACATCCACAGGCATACATACTTCAACAACTGCTTGCACAGCTCATGCCACACATGGCCCTCCATCCTCCGCTCCATCCCTCCCTCCCTCTTCTGCTCTCCTCCAGACGCAAGCACCATCTTTCTCCGTGGAGGCCATATGGCCCAGTGAAGCCTGTGGATCTACAGACACATCTGCGTATATGTTGCTACTCTTCTTAAAGGGCTGCACAGTGAGCTGCGCTCGTACACCTCTACAGCACTCGCGCACCGAGGCCTGACAAACACACTCCGCTGTCACGATGCGTGGTTAAGCAAGTGTTGGTGTTGTGCTGGTCCGTCGTACATGTGTGCGAGAGTCTATGTGCGTGACCTAAGTGTGTGCATGCGTAGTGATAATTGGTAAAACAGCCTGCCAACAGCTGTGGGGTGAGAAAAGGTTGCGTGGTGTTTAGTACGGAAAGCAGAGGGGAGGAGGAGAAGAGAGGAGAGGAGAAAAGTTGGAGCAGGAAAGGAAAGTAAAGTGAAAAGAGATAAGAAGAAGAGAAGAGGGAGGTAAGAGGAGACGGAGGGCAGAAGAGCCACAGCTGAAAAAATAATTAATATGAATAGAAAACTGGAGAAGTTACAGTTTAAAGTCACATTTCCCAACAAACATTACTCTGTGAGAAAAAGGTTATTTTATATATAGAGAGATCGATAGATATGTTTTCCTTTTTCTTGTTAAAGCTGCATTAGAAGAGAAATTTCCAACTAAAATGGACTAAAGTAGATTAAAGTTTCCGGGCCAGCTGTACATGTACTCATGCAGCGTTTTCAGATTTTAATAATATCTTTCCTTTAAAAGAAATGCTCGTTTTTATTTATGTATTGATTTAAAATATTTTGGAATAACTAAGAAATGCATGATTTGCACTGAGAGTTTAACGTTTCTATTAACTAATTCATCTGCACTGCAAAATGTTCACTTTTGTCACAGTTTTAGCAAAATCTAAAACCATATTAATCCGAATAAAACATCTTTTTTCTTCCGTTCGTGCTTGTATTAAGTTGTTTTCACATAATACAAACTCACAAACATCACCTGCCCACTGACAAATGATCGGCTGTCATGAGTTAATAAACGCTGATTTGTTGTTTGTATTTTTCGGACACAAAAGCATCTGAAAATGATCAAATACCTTAGTAAAAATGTTAAATAAAATATTCTTGAAAACTTAAAAAAAAAAAAAACCATTTAAACCTAAAATCCCAAACTACATTAAACACTAAACTAAATCAAAATGTTTTTAAAAAAGGCTGATAATAATGATAATAATCGCAGAGCCTTTAAATTCAACATTTGCATCTATGCATCTTCTCTAACTCGCTGCTGTCCTGCTCCATCTCTCCACCCTCCGCTCCATTCCTTCATTTCCAAGCAGAAAAAAACAAAAAGAAGAAAGGGAAAAAAAAGCAACAACACAGAAATAGTAAAATAAATAATTAAATGGTGCAGCAAAACATTGTGTGCTAAAACCCCTGTGTAGTTTGGCAATCAGCTTGCCCATGTAAAAATAAATCAAGCTGATTTTCCAAATGTTTTGTGCGTGGTGCGCTGTTGCCGCTCTTCGCAGCACAGATTGCAGGCCGATGGAGAGGCTGTGGGGAGGGGCGGGGCGCTGGATATTGAACCCACTTACACCAGCTTGTTAACACGTACACCTTAACCCCCGAGCGGCACGGCGGGGCGCCCACCGAACACTCGGGGCCTGTGGGGACCAGCGAACATATACCCGACATATAGACGCGCAAGCACGCCGAAGATCACGACAACAAGTACAAGAAAAGAACCGATGACGTACTGGCTTAAACGCGCACAAACAAAACTGCATGCACACACACTCGGAAGCCACATCTCAAAGTTCGCGCCTGTCGCTAAACTTCCCAAACTCCAACAAATATTATTCTCTTATACTCTTATGATATATATTCTATAATGTTTACCTCAAAAAGAAGCACATATAAAGATAAAAAAACAAGTTTTAGCAGCATTGTGTATCATAAATGTTAATCACACCTCTCTACCTCATCTATGTTGCACCTTTTTTAAAAAAAAAAAGCAGCTAAATGCCAAAACTACTCGTCAAACCCATGTAAACGCACTCTCAAACAAACACACCTTCTACCGGCTGAAAAATAAAAACGCGGTCAGCCGGCTTAACAGTCGCTCCTGAAGTGACCTCTTGTAGAACTGAACTTGAGAGATTTTTAAATATCAGGAGGATTCATCAACAAACTAAGTGTCAAAGCAGAAAATAAAACTCAGTAAATGCCAAGAGTGATTATCGTGGTTCAGTTGGGAGAAGAGAGAAGTTAGGTGCCAACTTCCCAGCCAATCCACTTTTGGCAGCCACATTCCTGCTCTGCTAAACCTCCTGAGAACATGCAATAGCAACCAACACACACACGCACGCACACATACACAAAATACCGCAGCAACATATGCACAGAAACGTACAGAATATTCATACTTCACACTCCTTGTCAACTTAAATAGCTTTTCTTTCTCTAAACCACACAAAGAGTCACACAGAACCAGGAGACAGCTGTGACTTGGTAAACTTTGTTTTTTTGGCAGCGTGTGACTATCGACAGGTTAACACCGGTGGGAGGTAGACAATATGTAGTGTCATGGATGGAGCAGGAGAAAAGGGTGAGCGTGATTGCAAGTGTGTGCGTGTTAAGAGGAAAAGTGGGGGGCACTGGGGTAGAGATCCTGCAGAGTGGGGCAACAACACCCACACACCCTCTCCCACATTGGCAGAGCCAGGCTGTATGCCAGGCGCCCCGTGGAGACACACGCCAACTGGGCTCCGCACTTAAGGAGGAAGAGACCCCCGCATCACGCATACACATGTACAGATACTGTAGCATAAGCCAAAGATGGAGGCACTTTTAGCTGCAGCTTTCATAAGTAAAGAAACCCAACAAATCTTCATATTTAGGACGTTTGAGTAATTTTCATGCATTTTCATCCAACATACAAATACTCAACTATTACACTATCAGATTTATTTTCTCTTAACTGACTCCTCAGTTCATCAGCTCACTCTGATCAGCTTCGTTCTTTTCTTAAAATGCACACTGCCATGTTTTTCTTTGACTTGAAGACTATTTATGGTTTCTAAATCCTCCAAATCTCACTTTACTGTTCACTGCAGTGTAATTAAGAGTCTATTAGAGTGTGACAAGTGCACGGGAGCATCGTGTGTCAGCTCCCGCTGACAAGAGATCAACTTACCGCTGCTTATTATAGGTTGTAGTCACTGCCGAGACGCACAACCTCTCATGAATTACCCACTTGTTAACTTCATAACTCGTCTGAGCCACAGAGGTGTGAAGAAGCACAGCTGTAAACGAGCAATTTGATAAACGAGTACCTAACGTCCTCGTTTTAAGACTTTTTTCCCCTTTAACACGTGTCCATTATCTGTGTTGAGCTGCGAGAACAGTCGCAACCGTGTAGTTATACTGCTATAACTACTTTACTTTCCTCCTGTCTGTTATGTAAGAGAAAAGTTTCTGATCAGGAACTCTTGGTGTGTGCAGCCTCAGTACAGACAGCAGGAGAATAAAGCGCTGACACAAAAAACACTATGTCAACAAAAAATTAAAACAATTCTTATATAAAAATAAACATCAGATGTGCAGAAGATTCACTGGTGAGGGGACAGAATGTGAAGAAAACTGTGCTTCTTTTTTTTAAAAGGCTCGCTGCCATCGCTGTAGAAATGTAAAGAAATGAACATTTAAACACTCCAAGAGCAGGAGGGATTTCTATGTAATGTCACTGATGTTTACGGGACTCTTTCAATCAGATAAAATTCTTGACGGGGAGTTTACAAGACCAATAAACAAACTAAACAACCCCAAAAAGATGTCAGAAGATGTTTTGCCCTCTGCTGCATGGACAGTATGTGTAGCTGTGTAGTTATGTGTGTTATGCGCCCACCTGTCCTTCATGCGCTGGTGCATGCGACCGTGCTGGACACACTGTTCTTCCATATCCGAGCAGCGAGCTCTCAGATTCTTCACCGTTTCCTCCAAGTGTTGTTTCTCCAATGCCAGCTGTTCCAGCTCACTTCTGCACACACACACATACACAGCTGCTATATTCACACTACCAACGTACGAAGCATTATACAGCCAACAAACTGAATTCATCATCCACTTTTTTTTCTTTAATATACGACTTTTTAGTAAAGTGTATCTGCGTAGTCCCAGAGAATGAAACAGCAGAGTCTTTGTCAGTGTGTGCACACATCTTACAAGAACGTATGTGTCATCAAATAAATGGCAGCGAGGTAGCTCAGTGGTTAGCATTGTTGCCTCACAACAGAGCTCACACACCTGAGTACTTTTCTCTGGTGTCCAAAAACAGGCTAGGTTCGTGATGCCTATGTTGATCCAGGAAATAGAAGTCTCAAAAGGCAAAACAACAAATAGTGATTTCATTTACTCTTTGGCTAATTTGGCAAACATGCCTGTTTTAAGATCACCATTTTCCACTCTGCCTACCTAACATCAACAGTAGAGGTAACAGCAGGAAATGCAGGGATAAAAATAGAGGTAACGGGCTGCATGTCCAGACGTAGTAAGTGTCACTTTCACAACATCACATTGGCCAATCTGCAGCAGCACACTTGATAAAAGGTGCAGAGTCAGCAGGACTACCAAAAACAGATGATCATTTTTCTTTTTCATCTTCCTGCAACTGTCTCACTGTAACCTCACTTAGCCCGAGCGAGGCCGTCCAGCAGGACTTTAACCGCTACGTTGGGCTTAGACTCCAGGAACTCAAACAGCCCGAGGCACCAAACACACCACCACGCTGCTGCTAAACTACATAACGCACACATCCAGAAGATGTACACGATGAGCCTTCAGGCCAGTGTGTCTGCATGACTCTGTACCTACAAAAACTCTATACGTGTACCTGGTACTCGCGTCCTTCCAAACAAACAAAATACACAGTGTACTTTGGTGTGTGTGTTGTGTGCATGTGTCCTGTGGTTGGTGAGGCCAGTGCGGTCTGGCAGGGCCAGATTGGAGGCTGTCATGTGACTAATGTGCAGCACAGCTCCAACAGCTGACAGGACACTGAGCCCAGGGTCACTGTCATACACACACACCCAGAAGACAATCACACACACAGACACACACGCATTCAGCCCAGATGGAGAGCTGGGCAGGCCTGCTGTGACTACTGTAGCATCAGGTTAACAAGAAAACAGGTCAGACTGGAAAGCAGTATGTAGTATGTTGACGTGCTCTGTTCAAACAGCCTGGATAGATGATGCTTTGTGAAATGATGACATGGATGTCCAGCAGATAGAGGGAATAAACAACAGAGTGGCAGAGCAAACAACTGTTTCATGGAGAGAGAAAAAAGCCACTGAGCTAGGAAGCAAACGGCAAATTAAACAAAAAAAAAATCAAGGCATAACTGAGCGAATAAATGTTCAAACACAGAGGAAACACTCACCTGCTTTTTTCAGCCAGCTCTTCCAGTTTGGTCCCCAGGTTGCAGCACTCCTCCTTCAGCCTCCCAATGAGGGAATTCTGGGAACTCAGGAGACCATCCAACTCTCCAGCTGTAATCAATGATGGGAAAGCTGGCAGTTACTTTAGGTTTAACCACCACAGGTGACGTTCCTCCAGAACAGGTGAAAGTCCTCACCTACCTACCCTTCTCTTTAAAAATTAAATGTTATTTATTTTGGATGCAAACATAGTTTAATGCCATCAGTGATTCTGTAGCTGACTGGCTTTAATGATGATATCAACACGTGCCAGCTAAACACAGAGAAGAATTAGACACCTTTTTCTGAATGATAAATTACACATAGGTTATAGAGATACAGATGTGTATTCAGGTCCTTTCAAAATAAATCTCCAATCTGACCAAAACAAAACTGAGCCTAACAAGACCATTTCCAATCTAATACTTAAACACAACTGAATAAGTTGCTCTGACAGTGTAGCAGCTGTTGTTTACCTAACAGCGGTTACACTCCCTTTAATTAACTGCTGCTATATGTAAAAAGGACAATCTCAGTAACAAGGACATGATGGTTACATTTTTAAGCCGTGGAGCCAAATCAAAAGAAATTGACAGCATAATAAATGTTTTATGCGTATGCAGGTTTTAAACACAAGGAACAGTGAGAGGCTTAATTTGAAGATTGTATCTGTCAGTTTCACCTCTGAGAATATAAAATACTAAAGGTAAAAAAAAAAAGATTTGGGCTACTATTTTTCACAGGTGAGGATGATATCTTAATGTCATAATCATTAAGATATCATCCAAGTATGTTTTTACTATAATGCCACAGCTCATAAAACTGAACATGAGGAGAACATGAGAGTACAGCATCCATCCTTCAGTGGAATAAATTCAAGTACACCTGCATGCCCGCCTCAATATTATTGATATAATTAACAGACAGAGATCTGATTCCCAATCTGGAGAAATTATTGAAAGACATTTACAGAACTCTATAAAAGGCCTCCATATTTTGGAAAACCCTGAGATGCCCCTTTTATTCTACGTTGATAAAATTAGCGGTTTTGCATGCTCATGTCATTAAAACTACAAAGGAAAACATAAAGAAGATTAAAATGATAATTAAATAAGTAAAAAAAAATGTGGGTCAGGGCTAAGGCTGTTCGGTATAATGATATATATTGGATGACGATATAAAAACGTCTATCGTTTCATTTTACGCTATCGTTTGTTTCGTGGTGTCGCAAAATAAACTGTTTACAGCAATATTTTTTCATCCTTTTGATGGTCACTGTAGTGGCTATATTAATTTATTCTTTCTCTTATATTTTATATAACCTCACTACTGAAGGACAAACGCCTGTTTTATGCGTTGTCATTAGCAACAACGACGGTAACACCATCGCGTGTCCGCTTGTTTGTTTCACATAAACCTTTCACAATAAAGCTCAAGATCCTGTTGAGACTTTTCAAAATAAACTGAATCACGTGAAAGAGCAGATTATTTACGGATGATAATTAAAAAAGAGCCGCCAGGTGCTAAAAAATAAACCTTAGACTCAAACGTTAGAACAGGTTTTTCCCCGCAGCACGCCGTGTAATAAATATTCACAAAGAAAACGGCGGCCGTTACAACTTATGTCTAAAAATGTATAGTTTCATGCATCGGTTAAAACACTCGACTCCAGCTACACTACGCGCAGCTGGAAACACTTCACGCAAGTTGAGCTGCCCGAGATTCACAGAATTTACAGAAAATGTTACATTTTTGTGATTTATGTCGTTATCGGACGATAGAATTCTTATATCGGGATATGAGATTTTGTTCATATCGCACAGCCCTAGTCAGGGCCAATAATATCAACAAAAAAAGATTCGAAGTGAGCTGCACTAAAGGACTCTGCACTAGAGGATGGTCACTGTGACTTGTAAACTGGAGTCATCATGTGAGATCTCATCATGTTTTGGAAAGAAAAATCAATGTTTAAATGGTGTGTCTATGTGTGCTACTTGTGCTACTACTGTGCAGAATAAAAATTACACCATGACTGACTAAATAAAATACAATAAACAAAACATATGTTGTTATGAAAAGTTAGTGAAAAGACATTTCCCAACTTCTGTGGGCACATAAAAACCCCCAAGTGGCCTCACGTCAGAAGATAACATCTACCTTATGGACAGCACAGAACAATGAAACTAAAGTCACATATACGTACATATGTCTCTTTGAATCTGCAAAAAATGCTTTAGTCAACAATCCTATTAAAATAAAAACTGTTCAATCGACACAAATAAATGTACAGGGGAAAAAAAGCAGCCATGCACAGGAGAGAGAATTTAAATATAAAGTGAGAAGGGTAAAACAAGGTGGAGAAAAAGAGCGGATAGTTGTTTGAAAGCGCTTTCTTTCTCCTTTCCACCCTTCCTGCCACCTCCTCATCCGCTCATGGGGGCCTCTTTCTGAACAATCCAACACGGTGCTTTCATCGTTCCTTTGAAATGGTCCACGTTCAGCTCTCCAGCATATGTCTGCTCTTTTAAAATAACAATGGCTGCCGGTTGGATTGAGGGAATGATCCACCTGCTCCGGCATTCTGTTACAGTCGACCAAAAACCAAAAAACACCAAGGACTCGCAGTCTTTGAAAAGTAACTCAGACTTTTTTCATTTTCATACAGCAAATATTGTGGAGAAAATAAAGATCTCTGCAGACAGAAACTGGACTCTCACCTTTAGACATCTCTCTCTCCTTTGCTCTCTCCGAGCTACAGATTAGCTATTAAAACAGAAAGTTATACAAGTCTTGATTGGGAGAAATTTAAAGGGTAATGCTTAGGATGATGAGCACCTCATCCATTGACCGTTACTCCAAAGGAACCTCTAACCTATTTTATTCCACTGTCTACAGCCGCCTTCTTCAAATCACTACCACAGACAATGTAAGTCGAGCAGAAATTGGATGCTACTGAGCATTAAACTATTAAACTAAACTACACAAACTCACAGCCGTGCACACACACATACACTCTACAAAGTTTGGTCAGTGCTGGAAAAGTTGTATGAAGAATGCTAATTAGCTGAACAGGCTTTGAATGCGTCTGGCCATGCGTAGGCCAAAAAGAACCCTGGGACACAGAAACACAGCAGAACTGGCACTGGAAACAAACAGAGGAAAAATGAGGGAGGGAGGGATGGAGGGAAGAAGCGTGGCAGGGAGGGAGGGACAGAGAGAAACAAATATCTGATATCATCTAGAGGCTGCTCTGTACACATTTACTCAAAAAAGAAACATGAAAAAAAATTTCAGAAAAAAGAAAAAAGGTGGGAGGGAGCGGAGAAGAAGTGAGAGGGGGGGGGGGGGGAACGGATGGATGGAAGGACAAACGGATGGACAGAGAGGCGGGATTTGGAGAGCAAGAAAGCTAATTATCCAGCTCGTCTGTTGAGTTGCACGGGGAGAGGAAGTGATGCGAGCTACTAAAGGACGTCCACCCCTCTATCCCCTCCCCATCCACAGTTTCCTGCTGTGCTCTGATGTCAGCTCTCTTTAGACAACATGTGTGCTGTCGACACGCGCCAGCAAAAAAACTCTTTGTTTACCCCCCCACCTACACCGCCACCACCCCTCCCTCCCTCTATACCCTCCATCTTTGTTCTGCGTACCAGCAGGCTCCCGGGTTGTTGAAGGGAACCACAGGTAAATAAAAAGATAGGGGAAGGGAGGGAGGGGAGGGAGAGTGGCTGAGGGTGGGTGGTGGGTTATAGGGGGGGGATATCCAGATGGTGCAACAGATGTGCTAGCAGCAGCAGCTCTGCTGTGCAGACAGACAGGGAGCTCTGAGCTGGGTCTCCCTGCTCTGCTCCCATCACCTTCCCTCTGCTCTGCTCCTCTTCTCTCTATTCTCCTCTTAAGGCTTCTGTTTGGCTCTTTCTGCTCTGTTCTGCACTTCTGAGGTCACTTCAGCCATGTTTTGTACAGTTCAGATGAATTGCTCTCCTCTCTGTGCCGTCATGGCGGGGACGAGGGGGCACAGAAAGAAGAAAGACACCCTTCAACTGGATGATGCAAGTTCAAGACCTTGTTTGAACAAAGATCCACCATGCTGAATCGTCCTTGAGGAGGAGAGTGAAAATCATCCAGCTCAATGGATGTGAATGTGTAGCTGACCCTGGTCATCTCTGCCGTTTTGCCTCTTGTTGTTCTGGATATTTGACTCTAATTGCTCTGTCCCATTCAGTCCTGCTGCGTTCTGTAGTCTTGTTTGTCTCGACCGTACACCGACCTCTCCTCTGTGTTAGAACTGACGTGCCTGTGTACTGCAGGGTACTGCAGTAAACCTAGCTGCGATGCAAATCGGAGAACAGACGGCTGCGTAGCCATGTACAGTTTCACAAGTGTGTGCAGGCCTTCGCTGAAAACTTTTTAAACGATGAACCTGCTCTATCAGCATCCACAAACTCTGATTTCTTTATTCACATGTTGTACATATAACATTTAAAGACTCATTAGATCCTGACACTGTCTTTTCTTTTCGGTCTCCCTACTCTGAAGCATAAAACTGAATAAGAAACATTACAAGATTCCTTCTGCTAATATATATTTTTTTAAATGTTTTAAAAATTATAAATACGAATTGCATTAAAAAACTATTGCAAAACAGTTTGTTGTAAGCTTTATAATATTCAATGGTTTTTACTTTACAATATAAATTGCTTTAAGAAGCTTTATCATGCTTTGCTCGTCCAAGTTTTCCAGAAAGCATTTAAACTGCGGCATCGAGCTGTGGTGCAGTCTGTAAGTATTACGACAGCATGACTCTGAATGACAGGTTCTGTGGTGACTAAAATGCCGATGGGGAAGAAGGGAGGGGCTTTTTCTTTTGAAGAACTGACCTGTCCTGATGTGAGCCAAAAATGGCTGATTAAGTCAGAGAGGTAAAAAGAGGACATTGTGACCTACGCCACAAGTCAAAAGCACGAAGACAAACCCGTTGTCACTGCTGTGGATTGAAGCACTGACCTCTCTGCAGGTGTTCGGCTTCTGCTTGCTGCAGCATCACAGTCAGCTCTCGCTCCCTTTCCCGAGCTGAAAGAGTCACAGATGCCATTTCCTCTTCGTGAGCCCGGTCTGCACCCTCTCTGTCCTGTCTGAGGAGAAAAACCAAGAAGTTAAAGAAAGGAAAAAAAGAAGAATCAGTGAAAGAAAATGTGTTTTCACTATTTCTACACACTTTCTAGTTTCTGGCACATCATATAAAAGTGCACTGCAAAAAATACACACACAGCGGCCCATTGGTAGAACCCTAAAGGCTAGATGACAGTGTTCTGATTCCTCCATAGCTGCTGTGTACACATGCACAGCATCGCATGTGAAAAGTCTCCACAGCCACTCGCTGACATTCTGTGGCATCTTACTCATCACACTCTGCGGGTGATGGTGCATGGAAAAGGTTTCACTCTGAAGCATTTCAAGCACAATCTTTGTTTTTAGGTAGGAATTTGTGTTTTGTGGCTAAAAACCGCAGAAATAATGGGTCTAATGTTTTACTCCTGCAACATAATGCAGAAGACAATTTGTACACTTAGATCAAGTTCAAGTCTGTGCATTAACAGACGTGTCAATCAGTGCATTTAAGTGGCTTCTGGTTACCAAGGAGATTCGTTTGTTGACACACCGAGAAACAAATTTCTTGCGTGCAATCTGCTCTGGAAGGAGTACGTTAAATAACTGCACTCAAACTGAGACGTGGAAACTAGGCGTTAAGTTAAATGTCAGATCATCTTCATTACTGTTGATGTTTCAGACTTCCCAGGCGTCCAGTAACAAATGCACAAAGGCTTACGATGTAATCGGGGTCATTTATCAAGTGAATCCCAGCAACCTGACGAGAATCCACCAGGTCGTATCTGCAGCCGTTTCTATAAAAAGACAACGTTATGTGTCTGTGTCTATGTGTGTGTGTGTGTGTGAATGATGTCAGACAGGCTTTTTGCTAAAACCAAGGTGAGAGAGGGAGCAGGAGGAGAGCACATACTGTACAACACGAGAAAGAAAGGAAGGGCAGAAAGGACGATGACAGAAAAGACTTGGAGGGGGTCGAAGGGTAAATGTGTCAGGCCACTGTCAGCTTAGAGACCCCTGAGTGATACAGCAGCTGTCTCATTCACGCAACACTCGAATAAACTGCCATCCCGCACATTTTGATACAAGGTAAATCACTGTGATATATGCTACACTAATGCTGAGGACACACAACAGCGAGTCAGCTGATCGGTCATCTCTGTAAGTGAAGAAGGAGTCAAGTAACTTTAAACTGCATTCAGATTTGTGTCAGTATCAGAATAGAACAGGTACGATTCAAGCTGAGGTGCTTCTGGCTTTGAACAGCGGCACATTTTGTTCCTGTCTGAACCAAACTTTCTATCTCAACTAAGTCCAAACGTACCCAAACAACAGAGAGACAGACAAAGAAGGAAAGAAAAGAAAAACTACAAAGAGCGGAAAAAAAAAACGAACAAATAAACAGAACTCTTCCTGAAGTCCAAAGGCGCTAATGAAGAGAGAATTCTCCAGTTTAAGTGAAAACTTTTCTCCCCTACAGCGCTTGGCCTGCATCTCTAAAGTGACCGCGTCTGTCTGTTCCTTCGTGTGTGTGTGTGTTCTCCTGCTGTCCTGCTGTCTGGGGTGTGAAAGCGGGTGGCGGGTGTGCAGGGGACACAAGGAGACTGTGTGTGTCTGTACGCGTATGAGTGTGTGTGCGAGTGAATGAACCCCCGCTGGGCTTGAACAGCAGCCTGAGCCACCAAAGCGCACACCAGGGCTCAGCGGGAGATGGCGGGCAGGCGTTGCCAGCCATTTGGTCCTGCAAGAGGTTCCAGGGGGCCGTGTGTATTTGTGTATTTCTATGAGTGTGCGTTTGTGTGCGATTGGGACGGGGGGTGGTGGTGGTGGGGGCTCACACCAGACCTGTTTACCCACCAATTAGCATCAGACAGATCGCCAGAAAGTTCCAGCAGTCAGCAATAGAGTGGTGGCGAGGAAGAGGAGGGTGATAAAAACTGAGGAGAGGAAATCAAAAGACAGAGAGCTTCACATTTGGCATCTGCTTTGTCGTGCTGATTTACAGAACCGAACCTCAGAAGTACGACCTAGTTAAGGACAGAGAATTGAACAAACGGACTGGAAGCTTTCGTTCCTGGGTGAAGAAACCCCAAAGAAGTGCGCTGAGTTTAGGTTTCGGTTCGATAAGTTGGGTACGAGCACTTGTATCTCTGTGACAAGAGCCTGAAAGCCTCACCAAAGATCAATCTGGAGCTAGCAGATCAAACTTTTGCGGTTGTTTCCCCCCTGCGCCATTTTGTACCTCTAATCCAATGCAACATGTTTACTTGCAAAATGCTGTTACAAAATGGCTGCTGTTGAGCACTATCAAATTAAAGCATAAAAAAGAGAAAGCGAAGGCGAGGTATCAGCGAAAAGCCAAGCCCTGGAGCAAGCATAAGGGGTGACGGGTAGAGCAGAGGCTGAATATGTGGGGCTGGAGCTGTAGAATTCTCCTTGGGCATTAATCTGCCTTCCAGTTAATTGGTGAATGGGCTCTGGGATGCTGCCTGTGGCAGGAACTCTTGTTTGGGCCTAGGAGGCAATAGACTGACTGTTCAGTTAGCAGATAGCTGGGCCTGTTTGTATATGCCTGGCCTGATGCACAGTAGGACAGCTTGATAAGTATGGCGAGAGCTGCATGGGCCAGGGGCCTAAGGTAGGCTGGAATGGCTCTGGGGCTGCGTCCAGGTACAGTGGCTGCTGGGTAAGTGGGAGGTGGCAGAGGCGGTGGCTGGCTGACTAGCTGGCTGGAGTGGTGAGGAAGAAGAGGGAGCCCAGTCCACACTGCCTGCTTAAGTGGGCACTATTCAAGCTGTTGCCCATTAGATGTGGGGTGCCAGGGCCTGACCAAGCGCGGAGTTTGCAGCACCCCATGGTGCAGCCGGCATCCCACGCCAGAACCACCAAATGCCGTGGTTTATCACAGAACGAGCACAAATTGGAGTCAGACGGTGGACTTGGAGGAATTGGAGACATTCGCCAACGCCAGACACAACTGACCGCTGTTCTGACTAAAGTAAAAACAGAATTAACTCTCCACTATATAACTCACATACATATACATGCATATTTAAAGCGTCAAAATACGAATACACACATACACACACACACAGTTTATATTTTGCTGTAATTTCAAATCCTTAAAAAGCAGTCACAAGACTGATGAAGGAAAAACTGGAGCTACTTATTCAACGCACTGCGAGGTAAAGAAAGCGTAAAACATTGACGTGTATCGTATATTAATTATCTACATAAAAACAAGCGATAAGCTAAAAAGAACAATTCCTCAAATTAATGAATATTCAGATTTATGCTCCGCAGTAGTTATGTGGTGCAAAATAACAGGTGTGAAATTAACATACAGGTGAACAGACTGCGAACTGAGCCTATAGCAAAAAACATGTGAAGACGCAGGCTTTGTTTGCAACAAAAAGGACTGAATGTTGCAGGTACTGATGATCCCTGCAAAGAGTTGAAGAATCAAGACAAAGACAAATAATAGCATTTCTACTGCGCAGGTAAAATACCTACGAGAGCCCAGAACCAGAAAATGCTATCAATTATGGAATTAGCGGTTCAATGTAACATTTTAATTGCAGAATTACAGATTTACGTAATTCACATGTAACTAGGATGTCATTATAGAATAAACAATAAAACGCACTGATTTCTGAATTCTATAACATTAATTAAAGGAAAATGTTGGCACTCCCTGCCACTGATTCATCGAGTCTTTAACTCTTCTGGGTCCCTCCAATTATCATCTCTTTATGATGCAATCTCTCACAGGTCCTCAAAAGGATTAACTGAGGTGGTCCTAACACCTTTTTTTCTAATTTACAACCTGTACAGTGACCCTTGGATAGGGAGCACTGCCATCTTTGAAGAGACCTCCTTCACCAGAATAGAAATGTTACATTTAGGAGATAGTTTCTTTCATTTTAAGGCCACAAGTGAAGTCAAATCACCCTAGCAAAACACAGCATACCAGATCTAGGTCATGTTTTTCCCCTTTATTTAGCCTCTTATATGAACATAGCTATAAAAAACCCACAGTTAATTTCCACCCCATTTATCGAGTCAGTAAGATTTTACTGAAATAAACTCATAGTATACTATAAAATGACAACTGTTAATTATTTGCTCTCCAACCGCTCAAAACGGTGACACTCGTGATGATTCACTCTGGTGGAGGAATTCCAGTAGATACACGGTTATTTATGATAGACTGCATCAATCAGACTATATTAATATTCAACAGTTTGATACGCAAGACTACAAAGATGATTTTCTGCTTATGTGCGAGTGCGATGTTTATGTGTGCGACAGAGAGACGGTGAGCGAGCGGCCTCGTGTAGGCCCGTCTAAGTGGTAACTGCCAACAATCGATGAGCGCGATACAGAGAAAATAATGTGACATATTGAACATTTGCAGCGCTGCGTATCGGTGATGTCGCACACAATAAACATCTGAATTGTTCCGTGTGGCAGACCACGCAGAGTGTCACACGATTTCCTGTCACACGCACCTCAATGTGTTTTAGCACATTTTTATTAAACCTCTGGGTGATGCAAGTCAATCACTCTGCTCCCACATTTTCCCTTGCGGCACCCCTCCCTTCATCTTGCTGTCCGACTCCGTGAAGCAAGCACATCCAACACAGAGGCGGCCTGATGCAGCCTCACTGCTTCTTTACTCTGCACCCAGCCTTATATATATCTATACATATATATAGATATCCGTCTATCTATCTGTCCAGCGCATTCTCATCTCTGCTCCGATCCTTTTTTTTCTCCCGTTCCCATCTCTCCCTCCTCCTTCCTCTTTTCCCTCCCACCCTTTTTTTTTCCTGTAACTAAACTGGCTGTGTCTCTCTCCATCTGCTGGTTCTTCCTTCAGCGGCCCTGCACCTGTTCACACCTCCTCTCCTGTTGGCCACCTCTTCTCTCTTCTCCCCTCTCTCTCCCCCCCCTTTATCTCTCTCTTTTTCTCTTTCTCTCTCCCTCCCTCCCTCTCTCTCCGCTCGGTGCGATGCTGCCAGGC